TGATGGTAAATGTTCTGATTCAGTAGGCAAGTGTGTTTGCATTGACATAAGCATGGAGTTTATTTCAGATTTAACTTACAGTTGTTTAAGATGAACATGTTGCCCTCGCTATATTCATCGCAGATTGATGTTAAACGTTTCTTCTTGGTTTTTATATGATTTTGTTTTTCTTATAAAATGAAGGAGAAGTGCGAAGAAGAAAGCATCAAGTTGGAGGAGGAAACAATTCTGGATGCCAAAAACGGGGATTCTTCTCTTTTATCGGGGTCTATGGTCCAGGAGGAAGAAAAGCTAATGGAAGCTCGGTTGAAAGAGGAGACAAAACAAGAGGAGCCTGAAGAGGCAGTGCACTTGAATGACACTCAGTTTACTAGATTGGATGAGCTCTTGACCCAAACGCAGATGTACTCAGAGTTTTTGCTTGAAAAGATGGAAGACATTACATTTGTATTCCTCTCTCACCTTTCTTTCACATGGATTTTTATGCTTTAAAATGGTTTGCTTAGTTCTGATTAGCTGTTAATAATATTGGTAGATTGGAGCCGAGCCAGAAGCTGAAGCTGCTCAGAAAAAGAGAGGTCGAGGTTCAAAAAGAAGAGCTGCTAACCAGTACAACAATGTAATGGTCTTTCTGCTTTATTTTCCCTGTCAATGTGGAATGCCTTCGATATGTTATAAATGTGCTATAATGTACTGATCAATTTCACAGAATTAATGATGTTATTTTCTTACTTGCTGGGTTGTATATCTGTTGTATTTTGACTTGATATTTGGTATCCTTAATTTCTTCGTCAATCATAGCTTGGCAAGTCCTGTATCATAAGGAGTATTCAACAACATGCAAACTGTTCAATGCTCCTGTTTACTGTATGGCGGTTTGGTTTATACAATAATTTGTATGATAACTGTTTTCCTGAGAACCTTGTATGCAGTTTTTATTTTTTTTTTATCTGTTGATAGCAATGTGATCCTTCTAATTTAATTGGAATCATTGGAATCTATTAAGCCATTATTGTTTTGTGATTTCTTTTTCCAGAGGAAGGCCAAGAGGGCAGTTGCAGCAATGCTTACAAGATCTAAAGAGGCTGAGAAAACCGAAGATGTAAACCTGACTGAGGAAGAAAAAATTGAGAAAGAGCAGAGAGAACTTGTACCATTGTTGACTGGTGGAAAATTGAAGTCCTATCAGCTAAAAGGAGTGAAGTGGTTGATCTCCTTATGGCAAAATGGGCTGAATGGGATCCTTGCTGATCAGATGGGTCTTGGAAAGACAATTCAAACAATTGCTTTTCTTGCACATTTGAAAGGAAATGGGATGGATGGACCCTATTTAATTATCGCTCCTCTCTCTACTCTTTCTAATTGGATGAATGAGATTGCAAGGTAAAATCATTCATAACTTTCATGTAAACAAGCATAAAATTGAATTTCATATCTTAATTCTTCTCTTTCCCTCCCTGTTTTAAATAGGTTTGCACCTTCGATGAATGCAATTATTTATCATGGAAACAAGAAAGAAAGGGATGAGATTCGTCGGAAGCACATGCCTAAAGTAATTGGCCCCAAGTTTCCAATAGTTGTTACTTCTTATGAGATGGCAATGTGTGATGCGAAGAAATGTTTGAGGCATTATGAGTGGAAATATGTTGTGGTTGATGAGGTTGGTATTTTGCCCTAAATTGTCCATGGCCTGGCTAACTCTTCTGGCTGTACTTATATATATATATATATATATATTTATATGTGTGTGTGTGTGTGTGTGTGTGTGTGTGTGTGTGTGAAAGCTTGAAAGTTGAGGATGGGCAAATTATATACTCTTAACTTTTATCTTCTTTTATTAAAGGGGCACAGACTGAAAAACTTTAACTGCAAACTAGTGAAGGAATTGAAGCACTTGCATGTTGGCAATAAGCTCCTCTTAACTGGAACACCTCTGCAGAACAATTTGGCAGAGCTATGGTCATTGTTGAATTTCATTTTGCCTGATATTTTTCAGTCTCATGAAGAATTTGAGTCATGGTAGGTATGCTTAATCTTTCCTTAATCAAACCTCAAGTTTAATATCTGTTACTAACTCATAAATTTGCTTATTATTTATAATCCTAAGGTTCCAATTCCAGTAAAATTGCTATGTGACATTCATAATCATGGGCTTACACTTCCAGAAGTTCTCAGTTAGCTTACTACATTGATTTTTAATGTTAATCTGAGTGCATATCACAAAAATCTTGCTTCTCTAGTACTATTGAATACTTGGAAAACAAGGTTTTTGGAAATGCTTTGCTGGCCCCTTAGTTCATTGATTTTTTCTTGAAAGCATGTTATGGTAATCCTTTTACAGATATTTTATTCTTTGATGGGAAAATTTCATGAATGTGCTTTTTTTTATTCTTTTTTGATGAATTTTTGCTGTCTTGTCTTACTGCTATTTCATTGATGCATGGTTTAAACATTCAGGTTTGATTTTTCGGGAAAAATCAATGGTGCGGTGTCAAAGGAAGAAATGGAAGAGAAGAGAAGGAATCAAGTGTGTATCTGACTGTTTTCCTGCCCCCTCCTCCAAAACAACATTTTACAAAGTATAATTCTTGGGGGTTTTATACCTGCAGGTGGTAGCTAAACTCCATGCTATATTGCGCCCCTTTCTTCTTCGAAGAATGAAGTCTGATGTTGAGCAGATGCTCCCTCGTAAAAAGGAGATCATATTATATGCTTCCTTGACTGAGCATCAGAAGAATTTCCAGGATCATTTGCTTAATCAAACTTTAGAAACCCATCTAAGAGAGAAAGTTGACTCAGGTATTAGATCAGATTTGATTGTAGAAGCTGCATTATTAATGTTTTAATTTGAAGAGAGAGAAAAAGGCATAAAGAGTGATATTAAAAAATTTTCTGGCTCCATGGATAGATGAATTCAAAATCTTAATTACAAGCATTCTACATTGTATTCAGTCAAGTTTCTTATGATAATTGAGATTGCTATATTGCAGGACGTGGTGTAAAAAGGAAGCTTAACAATTTGATGATTCAGCTTCGGAAGAATTGCAACCATCCTGATCTCCTAGAGTCTGCCTTTGATGGATCATGTACCTTCCTTGTTTTAATGCTCGAAAATTTGCTCTGAAAGAATGCTCAGCAGCTCCATTTACAGTGTTTTCTTGTTTGTGTGACAGTTTTATATCCACCTGTAGAACAGATAGTTGAACAGTGTGGAAAATTCCGTTTGCTGGACAGGTTGTTGGCTCGGTTATTTGAGCGCAAACACAAAGTACGTTATAAGCATTCTTAGTTTTTATATTCTCCCATTGCTTAAAAGTAAAAAGCTGCCTGCTTATTCCCCCTGACCTTTGTTAACAGGTTCTCATCTTCAGTCAGTGGACTATGATTCTGGATATAATGGATTACTATTTTAGTGAAAAGGGATTTAAAGTTTGTAGGATAGATGGTAGTGTGAAGTTAGATGAAAGGAGAAGACAGGTATGTCCTAAGTGCCTAAATTTTGTTTATTCATTGTAACAAGTACAAGGTATGCACAGAAATTGTTTGGTCTTCATATAGAAAGAAGTCCATTGGTTTGTAATCATTTTTATCACGATCCCCTGTGAATGTGCTTCATGCTGCATGTTGCGGTATCAGTTTTCCTATTACTTGTATCTATTGACCAGCTACATTTTATTGCCCTTTTTCTTTTATGCAAAATAGATCATGGAGTTCAATGATGAGAACAGCAATTGTAGGATATTTATTCTCAGCACAAGGGCTGGTGGCTTGGGTATCAACCTGACTGCAGCAGATACCTGTATACTCTATGATAGTGACTGGGTATTAAGTTGTTCTCATTCCTCTTGTATTCGTTTTATATTGCCCTTATATGTTAATGGTGATTAAAGTTATTCATTATGTTTCATGTCAATTGCAGAATCCACAAATGGATTTGCAAGCCATGGATAGATGTCATCGGATTGGACAAACCAAACCTGTTCATGTTTACAGACTTGCAACAGCACATTCTGTTGAGGTATAGCACTTGGATTTTTTTTTTTATCTCAGGACTATTCTGCAAGTTTTCTTCAGGCATTGAAATTGAGAAGAAACTGAAACAAGTGTGTTTTAACAGTGTCACGTTTTAAAAAGAGCTTATAGCAAGTTGAAGCTTGAGCATGTGGTGATTGGAAAAGGGCAGTTTCATCAAGAACGAAAACCAGACAACAACCTATGGGAGGTTTGTGCCATCATCTCTTCCATTTCTCTAACTACTTGATATAGGTTTTTCCATGGATTTCCTGTCCTTATGAAGATTATTGTTGTGTTGTAGACTGATTTTGAGAGTAAAAATTTCAGGAAGAGGATCTACTGGCACTACTCCGAGATGAAGAAACTGCAGAAGACAAGATGATACAGACAGATATCAGTGATGAGGATCTGGAGAGACTGCTGGATCGCAGGGACCTTGTTACTGAATCCGATGATGGAGAGAAGGCTAAGGCCGCCTCTGCTGATGCAGTTCCCCTCAAAGGTCCAGGTTGGGAGGTGGTGCTGCCAACTGGCTCTGGCGGCATGCTTTCAACTCTCAACAGTTGACACTTAAACACCCCAGAGGCTTTTTCATATTGGGGGTGCTAAGTTGTACCACTTTTGGTTTTTTTGGTTGAGCTGAAAAATTTCTCTAAAGAAAAAAGCTCTCGATTCTTTTGAGCTGATTTCTGTAAATGGGGGTGCGCATGATCAGTAGGAATAGGTATGACAGAAACTGGTAAGTTGATTACTGATTAATCAATTGTTAACAACCTGAAACTTAGAATTAAGCCAATGGTCCTTTTGAGGTGAATTCCTATGTATGGATCAGTGGTCCTTCTGATTATTGATTTAGGAAATCTGTTGCAAGCTCTTGTCCTGCTATCATATTGGACTTACGTTTTTTTTTTAATTAATTATGCATGTGGTAAAAAATGGAATTGCCAAAATCTTGGTTGGCATTTTATATATATATAAAAAAAGTATTCCGTTGCCGGGAATCGAACCCGGGTCTCCTGGGTGAAAGCCAGATATCCTAAACCGCTGGACGACAACGGAGGACTGATGATGTTGATCAGATTTTATACTTATTGGATTCTGATGACAAGATTTAATTATCAATCACACTAATTTACAAAATATAAGGTTCATGTATGTGCACTCCTAGGCTATTATAACGAAAATACAAGGTTCATGCAGACACTTGAAACTTCTTCCCTAAAACTTATTCTTTGTTTATGGTAGACCTTGAATCAATCAGCTCAGCCAGGCAAAAGTTGAATCTCTTGTACATGCAAAACAACCAGAAGATGGATCATAGGATTGCCAGCAGTTAGCAGCTGTTAACTTGCGGCTTGTCGAAAGTTTCGAGTCCAGCTATATGAACGGCTTGTGCATCCATTGTGGCCAAGGTCTGAGGTACGGACATGCCACCAGAGATAACAATTTCTACATCAAAGGAAGATAAAGAACTAGATTACATCGTTGCCCCCAACAGAAAATAGTCACCGGTTCCCCTGTTTTTCTTTTTGGGATATATTGGCCTGAAGATCTTACCAATTCCTTCTCGAACAGAGAGGTTAGGCCTTATAATATCTTTTGAGCTTATGAGAAATATGTCTCCAATATAGAGGTGGTTGGAGGGAACGTAAACACAGCTAAGTTCCTCTGAGCCTGAGCTCCCATGAAGAATAACTGTGGAAGTGATAAAGCCGAATGCATATTCTCCGACCCTTGGATGCCTAATGATAGCCACTTCCTTGAAGGCGTGGGAATTCTGATCTGGAAAAAATTGATGCTGCCGTTTAAGAGTGTAAGGATCCGAAATGCTGAAACTGGAAACAACTGCTTGTGCTTACCCGGCGATATTGCTGCACTTATTTGCTTTGAAGCGGAGTAAATGTAGCTAATGAGCGGCATCTTCTTGATCAACCATTCTCCCAAGCCAAGAACAGATGCTCCCAACCATGAGGACATGAACACACCAACTATGAAGATGAATGTGATAGAGGTCACAAATCCAAGCCCTATGGATTAGTTGTAGGAATTAATTGATTAATTAGCCAGAAAGTACATTAAACCCGTGAAAGGAATGAAAAGAGATGAGCAATGTGCAAACCAAAGATATTGATCCCAAGATGCTTATATATTGGGGAGAAGAATCCATCCACAAAATGAATGAACCACCAAGTGATGTAGAATGTAATTGCTATAGGAAGTAAAATGACGCTGCAAAGCAATGTCAGATATGAGTCAACTATATAGACCTTGCTCAAATCCAAGATTATCAGAAAGGAATTAGAGGGTAATGGATTTCAATCCAAGTTGACCAGCTACCCTTGGTAATTTTCCCAAGAGAAGGGCAGATTTAGAACCTTGCCCTTGTATCTAGCTAGCTATCTAGTTAAGTTTACTGGCTTTACATCAGGACAAGATTCTGGAAAATGGAGTATGATCACAAAAGTAACTTTCAGGCCTAGCCAAAAGGAGTAGAAACTTGCAGAAATTAAGGATTTACACAAAACCAAATTTTATATATATGGGATTAGGATGAAGCTTGCTAGATGTTTCAAACATACTGTAGTTTGAAATGAGATAATCAGAAACAACATTATCATTTAAAAAGCAGAAAAAGCTAACCATCCTGTCATGAACTTCTTCGAAGCCCAGCTACGGATGACTTTGTAAAATGCCTGCACAGAAGAATTACACGAAACATTACTGCACATCTCGACAATTTCAACTCTTTTGATCTGATTTGTTACTCTACAGTCTCTTCATCTTATTTTGGTAGCAAAATCTTCTAGAGAATTCATTGCTTATCAACTTTGCTTCTGAACCAGGTAAAGCAAGATGCTCCCATCCGTTAGGATATATCTTGGTGATCCAACCGTAGAAAAAATTCTACGTTATTCAAATTGAAGGAGAAGAAACAGAGATACTGAAAGGATCACGAGTAAACCAGATGGCTTGGCTGCCAATATCAGCTTAACCTCCATGAAGATGTTTAGAAGATAACGTTGGAATCGGCATGTTTATCGATATCAAGAATCTCTTTGAAGCATTTGATCAGAAAGCAAACGAGTAGAAGAAATACAGGAGTAGCAAATTCAGAGGAAAAAAAGAAACACAAAGGAAAACCTCTTTGCTAGAAGAATGAGAAATCGAAGCCGATGAACAAACAGATTCGCCTCCATTCTCACGGTTGTCTACAACTGCTACTGGAATCAAATTCAATTCCTCTTCTCTCGTCTCCATTTCTTTTTCTTCTAGAGTTCAGGTGCAGATTAACGAACTCTGTGTTGCCCGCTTTTTGAAGCAACGAACTCGAGATGGCGATCAATGGGACTGGGCTTTTCGTTTTGGTTCTGTTAGAGCCCATTAACGTCACCATTCTGGTCATTATTATGCGTCAGTGTTGAAAGGAGCCGACCCCCTTCATGTTGCACGAGTGCGTTACCTTTTTCCCTTTGTCATAGTGAAATCATGCAATTAATCTCCATTTTTTATCATAATAGTAAATTTAGTTTTTATATAATAATTTATAAATTTTTTAAAATTAATATATTAGTCTAAAATATTAAAATTTTTTATTATCTATATTGATATGATGTTTGACTGTATTAACATGACGTTTTTTATTAATAAAATAATAAATTTAATGATATTATAATAATAAAATGATATTTAACGAATGCTGTAATAATAATGTTGCTACGATGTAATCAAGTTTTGATGTGAAATTTATAAGTATGGACTTAAAATTATCCAATATAAGTTAATGGTTTTAAAAAAGATCAAAAAATAAACATATTAAAAATATGAATAGATTTTTGAGATTTAAGTCAAAAATGTTGTGAGACAAAGAATAATAGAATTTTTGTACTCTATAATTTAAAACAGTGAAAAACAATTGTGAAACAGATAAAAATATCAAATCATTATTAACACATCATTATATTCAACATCAAATCAATAAAAAAATCTCATATCAACATAAACAGTAGTAACATTTTAATACTATTAACGATTAGATTAATATTGTTAATTTTAAAAAATATAGAGATTTATTTTAACAAATTATTATACACGGGTTAAATCTACCACATTGATAAAGTATAAAGACTAAATTTATAATTTAATTTTTTATTAAAATAAACATAATAGGAAAAAGAAAATGACATTTCACTATGTAAAGACTAAGAAAGCTTTTCTGAAAGTGGGTTGGATCGTATTGAAAGTAAAACCAAATACAATTTAAAGGCAATTATTGGAATAATAAAATAGTAATATTCAATATTTGTATTTAAATTCGATTATAAAATTTAATATTTATATTTTACACGAACTCGATTAATAATATTATTAAATTATTATAAAATCATGATATTTGTTAGCCTAGTTTTATCAACAATTTACTCCCTATGTCTCTTTTTATTTGTTTATATTCTTTTAAAGTTTCAAAATAAAAGTTTTTTTTTCTTTTTTAGACATATTTCTTTTTTAGACCTATAATATTCTTACTTTTTATATATTTTTTAGTTTTTATATTAAAAAGTATTGAATATTTATATTATAAAAAATTTACAATTTAATAAAAAACATGTTAAAATCATATCTTTTATCTTAATCTTTATAAAAATTAAAAAACAAAGAAAAGAAAAAGACCAAGGAAGTATCACTTAATATGAGACTAGATAATTTGAACTTAAAATTATTTTTATTTTTTAAAGTGGAGTGTAATTAGTCACATTTATGCACTGTTGATTAATCAATTTTGTCTTTAAACTTTAAGAGAAATAATAATAAAAAAAAAAAAACTCCACATAGGAGCTTTGGTTTTACCGTTTTAGGAGAGGGATCAAATGAATGATCCACCCGGGCAGCATCCGGGTTACCCGGAACTTTCGATATCCGAATCAGAAAAAAAAAAAAACAGTTACCCTCCCCACCAAAATCAGCGAAAAAATTCACTGTAGCAAGTCTTGGCCTCTTCCCTCTTTCCTTTCATTTGGTTCAATTTATCACATCGATCACAACGAATTATCCAATTCAAATTTCCAGCTATAAAACAGGAAAAACAAACAGAAAATAACGTTCTCGTTCGAGCTTTTACTATCACAAATTTGTTAGGAGAGAGCCGGAAAACCGTTTGGTTAAAAGATCGGAGAAGAAAGATCTCCGGTTTCGAGAAATGATAACTCGGTCTAAACTCGTAGAGCAACTCAGAGATTACCAGATCCGATCTCAAAACAAGTTCCCTGCTCTTATCTTCTTCTCTCCCACACCCCATATCACTTCCTGGTGCGGTTTTTTTTTCCCTTTTTTGATTTCCATTTATTTGCTATTTTGTTTAATATTTGACGTTTAAATCTAGCATTTTTCATTGCATGTTTTTGTGTATGATTGCTTATTTGATCGACTTGTAATCAGAAAGATGAATTTTTCTTTTTTTTTTTGTTGAAAAAGGAAGGAATTTGATTCTCTGATCATATCAAAGCCACTCTTAATAAAAACTGAGAGGTCTAGATTCGATGAAAACTGCTAATTTTTTTTTTTTAATGTTGAATCGTGGGGAACGAGTGGAAATTTTACATTTTGGAAATTCGGTAGTGTTCCAATTTCCAATGATCGTTTTTGCTGGTATTAACTATTAAGTCAACAAAATGAGAAATTTTGCACGTTAAGCTTCCAAGATATATAATTGGCGGGAAAATTATACTGGCCTATGCAGCAATTGGATCATGCAAGCATTTAAGCTTGTAGAAAACTGTGACTTCGCTTGTGTTTTCTTTAAGTCTGATTGAGAATGAAGGATGTTCTTTGAGTGCACATTGGTGTCGCTTGTAGCTTGTAGCAAATTATTGAATCTCATTTGAAATTTTTACTGTTTATCCCAAGGTTTGTCCGGTATTTGAAGTGGAATCGATCTTGTGGAAGTGGCAGCATTCAATTCAGTACTGAAATTGAAATAGTTTACTTATAAAGCAACCAAAGAATGGTATACAAGTTAATTACTTTAATTCTAAGAAGAGCTTTAACTTTTGAGGAGTTAGGGTTGTCAAATTCTTCCAGTTATAGTTTCCAGCTAGGGTAACTTAAAATTTCCTCTTAACACTCAAAATAGAAGCTATCCAAAAGGTGCAGGATGTCACATGAAAGAAAACAAACAGGATTTGTTCCTACTTCTAGGTTCTAGTCATTCAGCAATCAAGCATTAATATCTTGTGAAGTAGTAAGGTAGTCCTTCGTATTTTCTCCAAGCTTTTCATTTATTATTTTTGAAGAATCATTGTTGTGTAAATGTATATTGATAGGTTCTATGCAATTGAACAGAGACTATAAGTCATTCATAATTGTCTTTCTCCTCCTGAAGTTTATCTGAGTCAAAACAGTAAGGTCTATTATTGCTTAGTCTCAATTGTCTGATTTCCTTTTGACGAGGAATTCTACTGTTGTTAGTAAACTTTGGATGTCTACATTGTTGTATGAGACTGATTTGGTTATGACATAGGTCATTTTTCAGGCCCCATTGTTTATATGATAGAAAATCAATATTTGGCAATTTTGTTTACTACTGAAAAGGTGTAACAATTACTTTGGGGGTAAAAAGCTATGTTGAGCTCACTTTTGGTCCCAACTCTGGCTGGGTAATAAGGCCTTGAATAGTATAACGCCTCACCTTACCAGTCTGCCTTTGATTGAAATTTTATTGAAGCTTTCTGATGATGATCAAACTTGATCATTGACTGAAATTGCTTTAACTGGAGAGTACCATACTACTATATTACTACACTTTGACAATTTGAGGGATGATTCTGAAGTGTGCCATTGGGAGAACCAATTAAGCTGCCAAAGGCTCCTGATGATGGTGGTAATTGGAGAGATTTGAACTTCTTTTAATTTTTAATTGAAATCAAGGTCTTTGACGTATAGTTACTCAGACACCCATTTTCTCTGGATACCTTAGCTTAGGCATGAGGTATCACTCATGGTTGAAACTGAAGTAATGCATTTAACTGGCTAAGACTCAAGCTGTGACAATCAAAGTTTCTGCTGGTATAAGACCTCCTGATTGTGAATACTAACTTTGCTTCAGAATCCAAAACTTCCCGTAGCTCACTATTCTGTATCCAGTAGGAACTCTGGAAATATCCACAGTTCAAATTTTACAGATGGAAGATTATTATCATCATTAAGCATATGTGTTTCCTTGGCTGATGATAAGAGTTTTTACTCATTGATAGAGACGCATCTCTTGATTAGGTTTCACCACTTTTGCTAGGGACAAACAACTGAACAATATTAGACCTTCTAGATTGTTACGAGTCAAATTTATCAGGAGTGAATATAGCAGTTTGCAAATTCTAGATGTGGGGCAACAATTAGTTTGACAACAGGGATCATCTTAATTGCTATAGCTAAGGCTTAGGTTGCTGTTGAAACATGGTTCTACCTTGATGGTTTTTCTTGTTTTCTAGTCATAGGCTACTGTTCATCTTCCAATGGGCTGAAACATACAATTCCTTGCTCTTTCCTGCTCCTGTAGTCTTCCCTTGGATGTCATCATGGTTGTGAAAGTATAGTACAGTCCTTCTCATCCCTACAAAAAGTGGTTCATGTTATTCAGGCAAAAATTCCTGTCACTAACATTTTAATATATCATGTCTCTTTTTAGGATATCTCTTGCATGCTTCTGTTGTAAATTAAATTTTTACATGTTCTTGATGAGATTCTGTTGACTTTATGCAGTGCTGATGTAGCTGTGGCTATTTTTTGGGCCTTTGCATTTATTTTGCTGGTGATATCAGCCTATTTTTCCCTTTATTTTAGGCACTTCTGGCTTTCTTGTATTACTATATGTCTTGGTGTTGTCCTTCCCATACGCTTGAGAAGTTGTAGGCAGGCTCTGGTCAAGAAGAGGGAGAGAAAATTTCTGTTACCCTTGTCTATGTGAGCCTTTTCTGGAACTGAAAGGACTTTAATTGATACGCTTGCCCATGGATGGCTTACTACCCAGCTTAACATATGTGGGCACATTGGCACAGCTTGGGAATCGATCTTGGTCAGTGAAAACTGTTGCCTATCTTCTTTTAAGGTAGATGGTACAGTTTCTTGTTCAGTTTTCTTCATAAAACCATACAGAAACCCCATGGTAATTTGCCAGACGCTTTCAACCTGTAACACTTCACAGTTCAGCCAAGAGACAGCTGCCAGTCATTTATACGATCAGTTGTCTGTAGAATTTTGGGGTGCCGGAAATTTAATTATTTAATGTTCTTTGTACAACAAAACAACAACAATATTCCTATAAAATGAGAA